ATTTTTCAGTAGAATGTACATAGCCTACTACTACTACTACTACTAAAATGAAACAAACATTATTTTTTTAAGGAAAAATATTTTCCTCTTTGTTTGCCAAAAAATCTTGTTTGCTTAATTTTCAATAATTAAAAGATAAATGATAAATTAAATTCATGTTTTATGCCTTCATTTGATAACCATAAAAATGTAAATACACAACACAGAATTTCTGAGGGGGAAAAAAATTCATAAGGCTACTTTAAGAAAAAGTTGTTTTATGCATTCAAATAATTAGACATGCTAAAACACAGAATTTGGTAACAATAAAACATATAAATAATATGGTGAGAAAAAATAAAACATTTCATAGGGCCCTAAACATGTAATTTTTGTTAAACTTTTAATAAATTGATGTGAAAATGTTTTACATGTGAAAAGTTTCATGATTTTGATTAATTAGACATGCTTTTTAATTAATACAATTTAATTTAACTATTAAAAAGGAGTCGAGAAAAACAAAAAACGGAATCCAGAAAAATTCAAATGGAAAAAATGGAATTTGGAAAAAAATTAAAAGGATTTCATAGGGCCCTAACTATCCCTCAGCCTTGCCGTGCCCCCCCAGTTTGGGAACCACTGCTTTATTCTTTTAAATTGATACATTAATTGTGTTTATTATATATTTTTTTATTAAAGTGGAAATCAGTTTACTAAATAATGTAAACTTGACTGACTGCTTCACTTCCATTTTAAAGGGATATTTATGTTGTTTATTATTTACTTGTATTTATATTTAGAATTTTTGTGCAATTACTTGCCTGTCAGTTGAGTTTGTGGCAAAACATTTAGCAGTGTTTACATGTTGTTTATTTCTGCATAAAATTTATTAAAATAGATGTTTAATTTCATAAAGTACAAGTTGACTTCAAAATGCACCTACTTTTTTTGCATTTTGTGTTTATCAGTTGAATAAAAGACTCTTTTTCCCTATATATTTCATCATTGAGGATTTCTTTAAAAAAAGTCTAAAAATCTCGTCTCATTCTCGTGAACCCAGTCTTGTGTCTCGTCACACACACATATTATATATATATATATAATATTTTGAAAGGTTGTTGTGATTTTTATAATGACTATTGTTCTAGTATATATATATTTCCTATTTCCATTATATTTGTTTCTATTCTGGAAAATAATTATGATATTATATAATCATAATATTTATTATTATTAGTTATATTTGTATATTATATAAATAATAAGTTATTTACTAGTGTCTGTATTTTTCCCCCTAGCCCATAAAAAATGTATAATCTCTTTTTTTTTTTTTTAAATCATGGAATTTTGTAGTGACTATCATTTTTTTTCTTCTAATTTTGTGTTCGTTTTTTTACGAATCCTTACAAAATGTCTGGAAACCATGGAAATTCTTAGTTCCACAGGTGTAAGAACGTTTGATATTATGATGTATTCCTACATTACTTTAATGCCATTTTTGGATTTTTCTTCCATCTCATGAATGACACTTGTGGTTTTTGCCTGCAATTTCACAAATCTTGCATATGCAAACATACTAACCATGACCTATTTTGTAGCCCAAGGTCCCTCACTGATGCAGTGTGAGAAGAGCTTCGGACGTCCTGCGAGACACTGTGTCTGTCCTGCCTTGATCCCACCACTGCCTCTTATCACTCTACGGTTGAGTCACGTCCTTTGTGTCCTCCTTTCCAACAGAGCTTCTTCCGTTCCGTTCCGTTCGCATTAGGAATAAACTCTACATCTGCCAGCTTATCGAAGAATGATTTCTCACCTTTCCTTTGAAATGACACGAACTTCAGTTTCATGCAGATTCAGATTTTGATTTAACCAGTACACAACCCGTTTCAGACATTTGCGCGATATGGAGTTTTATTTTTTATTTTCACGTAGATGGGGACAACATGAAGGGAAGCCCTTCAGACTCAACCGTGTCGATCGATTAAGTGCACTTAATTTCAAATCTGAACTACGTACAAAGGAGGGGAAAAAACGTTTCAAACAAGGGAATATTTTACAGACGCTTTTTCGGCAAGTTGTATTTTTCTAAACGGAATAAATTCAGGTTTTTGAGTATTTGTTTTTGACACACAAGTGTTCGTGGATTTAAAAAAGAAAAAAAAAAGACAGAACTCGCACCCCTGTTGTAAAGCAGCTTTAACCGGTCATGAATTTTGTATAATAATTTATCCTTTATTAATTTTCTAACTGACCTGATTAGTGCTTCACACGTTGTGCAGAAGTATATTTGTATGCCTTTTTAATAGTTTAAAGTATTATAGAGACCCTATTGTTGGAAATGTGTGTACATATCTTTTATTATAATTGTTTTGTTTTGTATTTATTGTTCGTATCTCTCAGAGGTTCAAGGATTTAGTGGTTTCTGTCTTCCTCGGTCATATGTATCTTCTAAAGATGGTTGGTTATGAAAGGACCTTGCATCCTTCGCTTGTTCCATTTATACTCTCTGATTATGTTTTTAAGGAATACTAACTGAAATGATGATGTACCCACAGGATCCCAGTCTTTTCTAGAGGAAAGGTACATTGCTGTGAGCCAGTATTGGCAGTCGGCCGAGGTCTGATGTTGTTCGGTCATATGTGCACATTTTAGTGTCTAACCATCAGGAATGAAGACCTTCTCAAAGAGTTAACAGAGAAATGTTTGCGGTTTTATTTATTTTTAAGCAAGGGCTCATTAAGTTGATCAAAAGTGACATTTATAATGTGACTATTCATCAAAGAATCACGGTTTCACAAAAAACGTTTGTTTTCAACATTGTTAATTATAATAGTTTCTTAAGCAGCAAATCAGCATAATAGAATGATTTCTGAAGGATCATGTGACACTGAAGACTGGAGCAATGATGCTGACAATTCAGCTTTGAACACAGAACATTTTAAAATACATTCACATAGAATAGCTATTTTAAATTGTAATAATATTTTACAATATTAATGTTCTAACTTCTTTTAAAAACATTAAAAATCTTACCAACTCCAACTAAAGCAGTGTAATTGTTCCTGATGTCATTTTGCATGATTTATAATAAATTATTTGGCAATAATGGTACACTGTGAGAGCTTTTAAAAAATAGAGTCCCACTAAGTCTCACTGTATATTCAGTTTTACACTGACAGTAAAATGGATTGTAAATGGCATTTCATGTTGACATCAAAGGTGAACATCCAAAAATGGCAAAATAATGATTATTTCCAAAAGGTTTCCTGATCATTTTGGTTTTGCATTGAGACATTTGTTATAATTTACAGTTCAGATCCATTTCCTCTGGTTTAATCTCTGAGAAGGTCTTCATCACTAGCATAAGAATTTTAATATTTAAAGGAGTAGTTCACCCAAAAAAATGAACATTTTCTGAAAATGTACTCATCCTCAGGCCATCCAAGATGTAGATGAGTTTGTTTCTTCATCAGAACAGATTTGGAGAAATGTAGCATTCCATCACTTGCTCAGTAATAGATGCTCTGCAGTGAATGGGTGCCGTCAGACTCTCATTCGGACGGCACCCATTCACTGCAGAGGATCCATTGCTGAGCAAGTGATGTAATGCTACATTTCTCCAAATCTGTTACAATGAAGAAACAAACTCATCTACATCTTGGATGGCCTGAGCGTTTTTTTTTAGCAAGTTTTGTCTGAACTATTCCTTTAAGGAGGCAAGACTTCTGTAAAGATCCCATTTTGCACTTTTTTTTTCAGGATTTGAGTACTCTTTTATTTATAAAAAAGTATTGATATATGAATTTATGAGGAGAAATAATCATGTGTTAGTTGTTCAGACTGTGCAAAGACGATACACTCTTGTGAACCCAGCTTGTGTTTGCTGTGACGGCTCTTTACCCCCGATTATTACCGTGTTGCCTTGCTGCCAATGCGAAACTGTCCGTAGGTCAGCTACCAGAGCTAGAAACCAACCCCGGATCCCTTCCACATCATCTTTTATGCGTGAAGTGCTTCCATATGGATTTGGCGCTGTAATGTTTTGAAGTCAAACGACAGTGATCCACACCGCATCTTTATCATCACGAAGAAGAAAACCGCCTGGATGAGGATGTTCGGTTTCATGTTTTGCCTTTTCCCATTGCACGTTAATCATTGGAGATTATTCTAAGGAATTATTGACATAATATATATATTTTCAGAATAGTGTGAAAGACCACTTATGTAAACCGAATGAATCAGAATGAAATTTTAATGTGGTCATAATCTGATCATGGTACCCTTTTTGACCTTATGGCTCTTTGTTTTGTTCCAGTAGTGCCACAAATCTCGGTGTACTACAGTTCATCAACAGGAAATCTTGAACTGTAACTAAGCTATGAAGTATTATTATAGTTATAGGTTATTATTATTATAGGTCCTTGTAAACACATCCCGCTTGTAGAAATTAATGAATGTCACCGTGGCATAGCAGTGCAATTATTTTTATTTATATATATATATATATATATATATATTTTTTTTTTTACAATTTTTTTTATGGAAGCCCATTTCCTTCACAGAATAAAAATTAAAAAAGGTAATTGTGACTTTTTATCTCAATTCTGAGAAAAATGTCAGACTTGTGAGAGAAAACACAATATTATTTGCTTTATTTTTAATTTATTTTGTAGTTTTTAATTTTGTTTTTTTGGTTTGCATTTTATTATTGTATTCATCGTTTTTTATTTTATTATTATTATTATTATTATTGTTTTTCAGTAGCTTGATGGCTGATTTTACAAGGAATGGAGTGAGATTCCAATCATCATTGGTTTCATTTGAATAATTGTATATTGTAAGCTACATTTCCCTTTACACATTGAACTCGGTATCACATAAAGTGTTTTCTGTGAAAGACACACGGCTTGCTTCCATGTCAAGGAAAATGCCTGAAGCAATATGAATCAATTCTGTAATGTTCTCCATTCTGTTCAATTCGTCTACTGATATGTATTGTTGCATGTGTGCATATTACTACTTTGCCATTATAAGTGAATGTCATTGCTAACTAGATGGTTTGTCATAACACTGCACAAGCAGCCCTGTTAATGAGCTTATTCCCAACCACATCTCCTGTCCACTTTTTCTCTAACAGATGCGTATGTTGTAGATGTATTATAGCCACACCTTCAGTGCTTCAACGTGACCCAGCCATAACAATTGTAAAGATTTCGAAGGCCTTATTTTTATACCTGGACTATTCGTACAGAATCTCTAAATCTGACATAAGAGGTGTTAATAGGCATTTATCTCATTCCTAAGACAAGCTCCTGTGTCCTTTATACGGTTTGTGTCCTGTTGGCCCATGTGTTCTCAATGATATAGATGTGTATTTTCAGGTTTGATCATATTTTGCATTTCAGCTGTTACAGAAATACATTTTTCTTACCTGTGCTTGCTTGTGTTCTTGATTTGCATTAGTGTTTATATATTTAATGTTTATTCTTACAGAATAATCTATCTATCTATCTATCTATCTCTCTCTCCAAGTTTACTTTGCTTAATGATTTCATATTTTTACATTATATTAATCTACGATCTCGGATCCGATTAATGTACATGTAAATATTGGTCATTGCTATCTATTTTATCTGTGAGAAGCTTCATAAAAAAACATCCTAGTATTAATATTATAAATATCGATACAGTATGCAATTAATTAGCCTAGCTAAAATGTTATAGCAGTCATATAATCTTACTGAAACAATTTATACAAATTAATGGAAGATATGCATTTCAGGAAAATCTTATAAATGTAAATGTATTCACATTTAAAACGTATTTTAATCAACTATTATAAACCATTTTAAGTACATTTATTTGCACTGACATTTGCGTGATTTATTGTAATATTAATTATATAGTAGTTATTAATATATTGTTATTATATTGATACTATGTAATTAATAGATGCCATAAAAGTAATCTTTTATTTGTATACATATTCATGGAAGAAACACATTTCAGAAGATCATAAAAATGTAAATGTATTTACAGACATAAACACTGTAGTATGTATTTTAATTAACTTTATATTTTATTAACTTTAACATGTATTTTAATGGACTATTGTAATCATAACAAATAAATGTGATCATGTAATTTAAAAAAAGGTATGGAGTGAACAAACTTTAAGTATAAAACTAACTTTTTGAGTTCATTAGAATGACCACCTAAAGAGTTTATGCGCATGCATACAACTTTCAAAAATGTCTTTTTTAGAAACTTTTACATTTTTTGTAAATTTATTTGCATTGGCATTTGCATGAGAGTTAACGCTATTTACTGTAAATGCATTAGTCCCCTGAATCCACTTAAGTTGAAATGTCTTTATTGGCGATAGTTACGCGATTCCGAACACCTGAGCTCTCAGACCGGCCCGGGTCTCGGCACCAGGTCTCGGCACCAGGTCACGGCACCCTGACAGATCTCCAGTGTTTGCTCAGTAGGGCACGTGCGTGTGGTGGGGAGTCACATTCATGCGCGCGGAGGCGTCACACACCATCCAAGAGCTCATAGAGTCAAAGTCGAGGTATCTTCCGGGAATCCGCTGATTATTTCGGTAAGAAACCAGAAGCTTCATTTAAGACTCGCAACCTTTGGCGAAGCGTTTTAAACGCGTAAAAGCGTCGCGTTTCTTCCCAGAACGCGGTTGTTTTGGCAGAAAATGGCGTCATGGTTTTGTTGTTCAGTCTGTGGATGGTGAAGAGACGGCTCGGTTTCGATTCCGCACATCATTAGAAGGCCTTTAGGTGGTTTATTAGATGCGGATGCCTGCTGTTAACAACATTCGTTGTGTTTTGTGGTCATTTTCATCATTTGTGAGGCAGGAGAGCGCGCGCAATGGCGCAAGGCTCTCCAGCGCTGCGCGCAACGACGAGCAAAGCGCAGCGGTTCGTAACTCACGCAGTTTCGGTTCTGCTCGTTTGGGTGTCGATGGATTGTAAAGTTTATTTTGCGTGTTTGACGTCGTCCTTTATCCTTTCTCGTATGCGTCATCGCCCTTTGTGGTTTTAAAACGCATTGTAAGTGCTTCTTCCTTGTCTAGTTCTTTCGCGTGAACTTTGGTAGTTTCAAACGCATTTGTGGATGAGGTGTAAAAATACTGAAAAATAAGGCTCAAGTGAAAGTTTGCATACTGTGACAACATTTTACTCAATCGAAGGCCGGAGTATCGAGCGCAAACATACTCGAGTGGAAGTAATACAAAGTTTCCACATGAAATAAGTTGTTTTAGAAGTGAGTTTAATGCTTTGTAAATCACATAGTTTGGTCTCAGTTTCTCAGTGTCCTCACTATGTGGAGTTCTGGGACAAACCAGATGCCAAATGGTAAATGAAAACAGCATTAAACCCACCAGCAGCTGATTTTATTGGTGTTTGACATTTGAAAACAGTTGTTTATAGACTGATTGTCAGCTGTGTTCACACTTAAGATCTTCAGCAAGGTGTCCTCAAGTATTGACATTTAAATGTAAGACTACACAGTACATATCGTTCAAAACCATACTTATAAGTACAGTAATGAAGAACAACTTTTTAGTATTTTACACTCATGAGTTTTGGGACTGACAGTATGTAAGTCTTCGGGAGATTTTGGACATTTTGTGATTACAAGTTAGTCAATATTTAGATGTAAAGTGACTCATACTGAGCTTTGTGTGATGTCATAATCATGAAACTCA